AGTGAGAGAGAAGAGAAATGAGGAGGGAGCCTGGGAGTCCCTGAGGTGTTGAGTGGGAAAACCCAAGACTCCTTTACCACACAGTGCAGTGATCTGCAGTTGCTGGTGGGTCTCTCTGCAGTTTAACTGGTACACCCGCCGTGCGGTACTAGCTGGCATCTACAACACCACAGAGCTGGTCATGATGCAGGACTCCTCCCCGGACTTTGAAGATACTTGGCGTTTCCTGGAAAACCGGATTAATGATGCAATGAACATGGGCCACACAGCTAAGCAGGTAGTTGGGGACTGGCCACTTGGAAACCCTTTCCAGTAGGCACACTTGTCTGCCTCAAGCCACACGTGATCACCTAGCTGTTCTCTTGCTTCCTGTTGACCTTAACTGACCGTCCCAAAGGCTTTCCCAAGAAGTCTGGCTGTTTCTTCCTCGTGCTAGCCCTTCCTTATAAGTCTGCTCTGTCTGTGACTGTTGTCCGTAGGCTCTTTTCCAGTACGTTAACCACCTTGACTCCACTGTGGGGTCATAGGCTTCCTGAACTCTCCTACCCGTTTCACCTTTGAGCTCACTCTGGGGGCTTAACAGAATCTGACCCTGACTCCTCTTAGGTGAAGTCCACTGGAGAAGCCCTGGTGCAAGGACTGATGGGTGCGGCAGTCACGGTAAGTCCTGCCCAGTTCACCATGTCTGCCTCCCGTTCCACTGTTTGTAACATGTCATCAACCCGAGTAGCTTTGGACTGCAAGCTGAATAAAGCTGATGTTGGTTTAGCCTCAGTATCTTATTCCCACCTCTTCTTCGCTGGCCTCAAGAAACTGCTGCTGGAGCTGGGGAGGAGGGCAGGACGTCCCTCTATTCATTCCATCCCTCGTCACGTCTGCCCTGGGCCCCTAGCGGGCTTGACTCTGTCATAGCTGTCCCTCTGCCTTAACTAACCAGGGTTCCCATTGTAGTCGCGGAGGTTAGGCCAGCCTCACCGCTCTCTCTGCTTCTATCCCTGTGTTAGCTCAAGAACCTGACAGGTCTAAACCAGCGCCGGTGAGGGGAAGGGGAACCCACGTACCTGGAAGGAGCAGCAGTAAAGATGAAGGGCTTTGACACGCACCACCCAGCGAACAGGATGTAAATGAGAACACAATGAAGAGCTTGGAGTCACTGTGACGGCCGCGAGGCTAACTCACAGTGCACTGCTACTGTTCTGATCTGGAATCGGGCCACTGCTGCACTTCCTAAGACCAGGCCTGGCCTCCTGATGCCTTCTGCATTGCAGCCGTGTGATTGAAAAAGGAGACTAACGTCCAAGCTCAGACACCGTGATCACGTCTTGACCTTGGAACTGCTCTCTGGGAGCTGGGCATGGTAACCTATATTCTCAGCATTTAGGAGTCTGCCACAGCAGGATTGAGAGTTCAAAGCCAGGCTTATCTATGTAGAGAATTACAAGCCTCTTGAGCTACATAGTGTGACCCTGTCTCAAACAAAATCTCCTGAGAAATATACTCAGGAGATCACAAGCAAATGATCCCACAGTGACAGCTCCTCCCCAGCACAGGACAGTCCTCTGGGTCCTCAGAAAGCTGCCTCCCCTGAGACAGGTGCCTTCTGGACAGTCATGCTGAGCCTGGCCAGAAATGTGATCCTAGGCCTGGCCTCACAGACACCAGCATGCATTGCAGGGTCACTAGTGAGAGAATCTGTAAAAATAATAAATATGTTTGAAACAATTTCCTGTTGTACAGTTTCCATCTAGACAATGTTGAGTATCCTAAACCCCAGCAGTGGACAGTGTATGGAAGAGGCCTGGGTTCTGGCCGTGGCACTGCCTCATACCTCCAGGTCACTGTGACAGCTCTGCATTCTGGGCCCAGGTGTTCTGTTAGTCAGATGAGGGTAAGAACTCTTTCCCAGGCCATGAGTTCCCTTGTCTGTTCTTAGTCTCTGCCTGCCTGAGGGCAGTCCTTGGTTTCCATGTCCTCCAACCTCTGCACTGGCCGGGCTTCCTTTGCACCATGGTTAGCCTGAGGGCAGTCCTCGGCTTCCATGTCCTCCAGCCTCTGCACTGGCCGGGCTTCCTTTGCACCATGGTTAGCACTCTCTTCTGCTGTACTCTCCTGTTGAATCAGCTGATGGGGAAAGCTGAGTTTCAGATCTTGTTGTGTGGGCTTTCTGTTCCCCCCTGATTCTTTTATGCCTCTTGACATCTTGATTCTTTTATGCCTCTTGACGTCCCATAAAGTTACTGCTGCAGCTATTACACTTTGTCCTTTGTAGCATCCCTCTCTCTCAGCAGACGCACGTGACTCCTAATTCACTGGGATGGTGTGTGCTATGGAGCAGGCCCCCTCTGTCGATGCCTTCCTCTATCTCAGGAACAAATGTCACTCCTCGTTACAGTGAACTCTTTATTCTCTGGTAACTTCTGCCCTCCGAGTGTAGTTCCTTCAGGGTTCTTTCTGTTTAAGGGCTTCTTTTCTCTGTGTGAGCAGCTGCCACTCTTTTGAGGCCAGTTTAAACTCTACGGGTGCAACTACACAGATCTGTAGACGGGAGAGCATTGTATCTACTTCAGAAGTACATCAGGTGATCAAGAGTAGAAAAGGAATGTGTGTGTGTGTCACTTAACACATAAGGGCATTGCGGAAGAGTACTTTGGGGACCTTTGAGTTGGCTCAGTGGGGAAGAGCACTTGCAATCAGGCCTGCCATCCTAAGTTCAGTTCCAGGGACCCACATGGTGGAAGGAGAGAATTGAGTCCCATGTTCTTCTTCGACTTCCACACATAGGATGTGTTGGCACCATTATGTACATACACACACATGATAAAATACATGTGTTTTTCGTGTGTGTGTGTGTGTGTGTGTGTGTGTGTGTGTGGTTATCGCACTCTTGCTGAAGTTAGCTCAGGAGTGGGTCTTTCATTGTTTGCTTCTTTATATACCATCTAACTGGCTGAGCACTTCCAGGGGATTCTTCTGTCTCCACCTTCCAACGGAAAGGAACACTAAGATTACAGAGCTGCGTTGCCATGCCTGCTTGACATGAGTTCTGAGGATTTGAACTTGGTCCTCGTTCTCACACATAAATTGTCTTACACACTTGGGTTACTTTCCCCAGCCCTCATTTATCTATAGATGTACAACCTCATTCTTTTAGAAAGTTTCATTGTATTCCTATGTATTTTTAATTATTATTACAATGGTTTTTATTTTTTAAATGGCAATATAACCACATCATTTCCCCTTTCTGTTGTTTGAATTTCTAATAGTCTTATAATAAAAAATCTAGAGCCAGATATCAGGGTGAAAGCTGAAAGATCAGAGAAACAGAGCAAGCCACAGCCCACCTATTGCCTCACCAACTCCACAAATCCTCAGAAATCCTCTGAGTCTCCACCAGAAAGGGTCTCAGTTGAGCTGCTTTAGTTCCTGTTTCCTCAAGCCTTACATACCTTTCTCCGCCGTGCCATCACTTCCTGGGATTACAGGGGTGTGTGTGTGTGTGTGTGTGTGTGTGTGTGTGTGTGTGTGTGTGTGTGTTCCTCAAAGAGATCCAGACAGATCTCTGCCTCCAGAGTGCTAGGATTAAGGGGGTGTGTCACCACTGTCTGGCCTCTTATGTCTAATCTAGTGGCTGGCTCTGTCCTCTGATCCCCATCAAGTTTATTAGGGTACACAGTATATCACCACACCTTTCCCTTTCTTCCCTCCTGCCCCTCCCGTACACCTCTCAAATCCATGTCCTGTTTTTTGTTAATTATGTTATGCACATACACATTCCTAATACATGAATACAACCTGCGCAGTCCTTGTAACATTACCTGTATTTATATGATCTCAGGACTTTTAGTACTGTATTGGATAACCCATTGCAGGGCGTTATTTCTCCCACTTTCAGCATCCCCTGATTGTTTCTTAGGGTTGAGACCTCTCCCCCTTCCATGCTAACACATCCATTGGTGTCCTTGTTTGTCTCATTTAGGCAGTCGGGTTGGTGAGATTTCATGTGTGTGGCCTTTGTAACATTTCCAGGAGACACAATCTCACGGCAAACTTAATGATCCCCTGGGTTACAAGCTTTCCACTCCCTGAACCTTAGGTGTTGAATTTGTTGTAGATGTAACAGTTGAGACTGGGCACCCAACAACCTCTTGTTCTCTGCATTTTAATTGGTTGTGGGGTTTTTGTTGTTGTTTTGTTTTGTTTTTGTAATGGCCTCCATCTTTTGCAAAGAGAAGTTTCTTTGATGAGAAGTGAGAACTACAGTATCTTCACATGGTTCCCCTGAAAATCTTCGGAGCCTTGATCCTCCTCTCAGAAACCAGCAGATGTCCCCTCAAATGAATGTGTCAAATTTCCACCTCTCTTTCACGTTAGTAAGTGAAGGCCTCACACACTGTCAAATGTCCCCTTGCTTCAGACAGTTTCAGAGGCTTACTTCATTATCATCACGGTGGGGAGCATGGTAGCATGCATGGTGCTGTAGAAGTAGCTGAGAGCTTTACCTCCAGATCCAAGGACAGCAGGCAGAGAGTATTTTTTAAATTATGTATATGGGTCTTTTGGTTGCATGTATGTCTGTGTGCCATGTGCATACCTGGTGCCCTCAGATGCCAGGAGAAGGCATAGGATCCCCAGAAATTGAAGTTAAAGATGATACTAGCCACCATTTGGGTGCTGGGAATCCAATCCAAGTCTTATGGAAAAGCAGCTGGTGCTCTTAAGCATTGAGCCATCTCTCCAGTCCCACATGTATGTATGTTTAACCAAGTCTCCATCGGTCATTGCCTAATGAGTTATTTTTAGCAATTACAAATAACACTGTCATGAATAACCCTGTTCCTGTACTTTTGTGCTATATATCTTGGGGATTTCAAGAGCCTAGGGCCTGGTGCATTTTGGAGGCAGGGCATTTTGGAGAGTGCGGTTAGAAAACGTAGGCCCGGAAAGTTCTGGCCTCCGGTCAGCAGGTGGCGCTGCGCGCACGTCTAGCCGGAAGCGCCGGGGACCCAGCCGACAAATTGCTGGTGGCGGCGCAGGCGCGCTGCGGGACTGGCGCGGGAGTCTGGCTGCGGGTCGCGATGCCGTACGCCAACCAGCCAACGGTTCGGATCACGGAACTCACCGAAGAGAACGTCAAGTTCATTATCGAGAACACGGACCTGGCGTAAGGCGGCGGCGAGGGGAGAGGCGGGCGGCCGGGTCCTCGGGTCCCCCGGCGGGGCTGTGGCTTCGGGGACGCTCACACGGCCTGGCTTTCCTCCTTAGGGTGGCCAATTCCATCCGGAGGGTCTTCATCGCCGAGGTGCCCATAATAGGTATGCGACCCTCCCTCGGGGCCCCTGCCGCCGGCCCCCCGCTCCAGGTGGGAGGCTGGGAGCACTGCGGTGCTGCACGGTGGGCTGGGGCCGCCTAGGCCCGCCCTGCTGCGTGCCTTCCTCAGCAGCGTGGCTTCCAGCTCTGCTCCGTCTGCCCAAAAGCAACAGAAATTAAGACTAAACACTATTAAACAGCGGAGAGCCGCGGCCTCCTCATCCGTAGGGTGTAGACGGTAGGAGTCGTTAGCGGTGTTACCGGGGGATTACCGAAGTCCTGTAGATGATGTGCCTTTGCTTTTAAGCCAGTGTTGGGTACTAGTAGGTGTCTTTTGAAAATGTATCTTAATTGTACAAAATAATGGGCTTCGTTGTGACATTTTCGTGCACACACGCACACAGAGTACTTGAATTGCATTCAGTACCCCTTCACTTCCTTTTATTCCCCTCCCACTGGCCTCTCGCGTCTTTCCTGATAGTACCCTGCTGTAGTTTCTTGTCTCTTCTCTCTTCTTTAAAACATATTTATTTACGTATATCTGTATGTCCCTGGGCGTGAGGGTGCTACAGTGCATGTGTGGAGGAGGTCAGAGACAGCTTATGGGAGGGATTATCTTCTACCATATGGGCCTCAAGGATTGAACTCGAGTCTTGACAAATGCCTTTACTTTGCTGATCCATGCCCCGAACTCTTTTTTTTTTTTTAAGTACTTGTTTATTATGTATACAGCATTCTGTCTGCATGTATACCTGCATGCCATAAGAGGGCACCAGATCACATGTGAGCTGAGAATTGAACTCAGGACCTCTGGAAGAACAGCCAATGTTCTTAACCTCTGAGCCATCTCTCCAACCCAGAACTCTCCCTTCTTAAAAGTTGAAATTCCACATGAGAGAAAGTGTGCTTGCTCTGTGGCTTCCTTCTGCAAATTACATACTTTTGTTCTTTATTATTGGATAATGCTTCAGTGTGTGTTTAATATCACTTTTTGTTGTTGTTTTGTTTTTTCGAGAGGGTTTTTCTGTGTAGCCTTGACTGTCATGGAACTCACTCTGTAGACAAGGCTGGCCTCGAACTCACAGAGATCCGCCTGCCTCTGCCACCCAAGTGTTGGGATTTAAAGGCGTGCACCACCACTCTGTATCCATTCTGGTAGGTGTCTTTTTTTAATGGATCTCGTATTTCTACTGCATGTGTAGATCATGTAAGTTCCAAGCTAGATGTAAAGACAAGACATGGACAGACACAAGGCAAAATATGACAGGTGTCTTCAGGGGGATCTGAATGGGTTTTGGGGTTTTTTGTTTGTTTTTGAGATAGGAAGGAGCTCAAAGGGAAGGAGTAGCAGCATCTGTACACACACAAGGTTTTTAGAGGCTGGGAGTTTTCACCTGCCAGGGTGTGGGAGGATGGGGATGATGGGAGGTAGGGCATAGGAAAGTTCGATGTGGCCCTTGCTTGGGTTGGGCAGAGCAGGTTAGGCCTATCATTGTCTGGTCTTCTGACCTCTTTTCCTTTGTCCATACAAGTTACTTGAGAATTGGGCTCCAACACTGTTTGATTTCTGAATTTCATTGTTTACATGCAGATGTTTGCTTCTGAATGACTAGGTACATGTGTGAGTAAAGCCTCGATAAGCACACAGTCCTACACTCCCAGCAGTGAATGGGAGGGATCGTGTTTTGGTGTTAGTGCACTTTCCCCGTGGAAGACATTCAGGTCTATCCACTGGTGGGAGTAAACTGGGATTCTAAAGGAGTGAGCTGGTTTTATCCTACAGTGAGGTGTGGGCCATGAGCCACATTAATTTTATGATCTTTTCCCCAAAAATTTTTAATTAGTTTTAATTATGTCTCTGTATGTGGGTATTTGCAGAGGAGGCCAGGGGTCTCAGATCCCCCTGGAGCTGGGGTTAGAAGCAGTTGTGACCCATCTGGCATGGGTGCTGGGAACCCCTTAACCTCTGAGCCATCCCTCCAACCCATGATCCCCCAACTTTTAAGTGCCCAAGATAGCTTTTGTTCTTGGATTTGATATTAACACGGATAGCAGATTTGAAGTGCTCTTTAGGGAACATTCAACTCCGTAAATATTCCACTCTCACAATATTCTCTAAGTGAGTGTTTCTTTGTGTGGTACCAGCAAGCCCTAAACCCAATTCACTGGAGGCAGGAAGGTGTTAGGTATGGTATGTGTGTGGTTTAAATTAGATGCCTGAACCTCCAGCTGTCACTTTGGAGTCAGTCTCTGGCAGCCTGGCCTGGGCACCTTCAACTTTGTAAACACTGAACACTGAGTGATTATTTGCTTTCCTTTTTTTTTTTGGTGTTTTTGAGACAGGGTTTCTCTGTAGCTTTGCGCCTTTCCTGGAACTCGCTCTGTAGACCAGGCTGGCCTCAAACTCACAGAAAACCACTTGCCTCTGCCTTCTGAGAGCTGAGCACTGAGTAATACTTAAGTCTTGAAAGCAGCGCTGTATGTAGGTCTGGAGATGTCTGAGGTCTCAGATGGTGGGTAGTCTCACTCACTTGTGCTGTTGTTCTGTTGCCTTTTTCAGCCATCGACTGGGTTCAGATTGATGCCAATTCCTCAGTCCTTCATGATGAATTCATTGCTCACAGGCTTGGTGAGTTTGGACATTGAGAAGTGGAAGGGATTAAAGTGGGGTGCTTCCTGTCCCCAGCCCGAGGGACTTACTTGTAGGTTCTTGTGATGGCGTGGCCGCTCTGCAAAGCACTTTTCTGTGTCTTGCAGGATTGATCCCCCTCACTAGTGATGACATTGTGGACAAGCTGCAGTACTCCCGGGTATGTGTGTTGCTGGGTAGACTGGAGGCACAGGGGGTGGGGTGGGGTGGGGGTGGCGCCTAGTTGTCCCAGGAATCTTCTGGATGCCTTCCTCTGGCTGACTGTAGCATAGTTTAGAAACCATTGTGGTAATGATGTTCTAATGCTGTGGTCCTTGCTTCTGATGGGGCTCTCAGCACATCCAGGCATCTCAGTGAGCCTTACAAAAGGGGACACACACACCCCCAATGCCCATAATTCTTTTTTAAAGATAGTTTTTTACTTTAGTGTGTGTGTATTTCTGCTTCTATGTATGTATGTGCAGATGGGTTAGGGTGCTGGAAAAGGTCAAAAAGAGGCCATCAGAGCCCCTGGAGCTAGAGTTACAGGCAGTTGTGAGCTGCTGGATATGGATCCTGGGAACTGAAAGATCCTGGGTCCTCTGTAAGAACAGCAAGTGCTCTTAACAGCTGGGCCATCTCTCCAGCCCCACCATGCTGCTGCTGCCGCCCCCCCCCCCATTTATTATTTTTTATAACAGGGTCTCACTATGTTGTCCTGGCTGGCCTTGAACTCCCAGAGATCTGCCTGCTTTGCCTCCTGAGTGCTGGGATTAAAGGCATGTGCTACTATGCCTGGCTGAGAACACTACCATTAATGAACACTCTCTTTTTTTTTTTTTTTTTTTTTGGTTTTTGGTTTTTGGTTCTTTTTCTCTACAGTTACCAAATGCTAATGTTTTACTACATTTGCCTTATTTTTATATAGTGTTGTTTCCCCTAACTTGAAAAGATGTTTTTCTGTTCTTCCCTTGCTTATTGTATTTTCAGTAATTCCCAAGCTGGTCCGCATAGTGCAGGGCAGGTATGGTCCCATGACAACCTTGGTCCTCTGAGGCAGTCAGTCCTGTTTGGGCACTGCTGTGTTAGCAGTGTGCCCCCTAGTGGTAGCCTGCAGCAGTGACCGTGGAAAGGAAGTGTAGTTGCCAGCGGGTTGTCCCTAAGTTTGAGCAACCATGAGGATGGTGTACCAGATGCCACAGCCCAGAAGAGGCCTGGGACTGTGGTCAGCCCCTCTTCACAGGAAGAAACGGAGAGGAGCTGGTTAGTAGAAGCAGGGCGTCCAATCTACTCGTTCCTACTGCCCTTCCTGCCTCAGGACTGCACATGCGAGGAGTTCTGCCCTGAGTGTTCTGTGGAGTTCACTCTTGACGTGAGGTGCAATGAAGACCAGACTCGCCATGTTACCTCTCGGGATCTCATCTCCAACAGCCCCCGGGTTATTCCGGTCAGTGCCTTTGCTCTTCTCTGTCTGGCTCCAAGTGGGACGGTTGGGGTGATCCTTATGAGGTGTGGTCCTAAAGTCACCTGCCCTATGACCATCTACTTTAAATGGCCACTTAGAAGTGCTGGTCCTGAGTTCTTGAACAGTGTTGTCCAAAGACCCTCTTAAAAGCCATTGGACTGTTTGGACAGCTCTGCCGCCTCCTTCTCAGGCCTCCTTTCCCTGGCTTGACAGTTTACAGAGGTAAGAGGCTAACGCACACTTGTTTGGGCTTCCCACAGGTGACATCCCGGAACCGGGACAATGACCCCAATGACTATGTGGAGCAGGATGGTAAGGGGGTGTGGCGGGATGGTGAGGGGGTGGGGCACACATGCTGGTGGCCAGAGGATGCAGACACCAGATGTACCGTCTTGAGCTGCCTGGTCTCTGTCGCTCATCTTCAGACCCTTCTGTGGGTTGTCTTCATGCAGTACGGGGTCAGAAGTTGGAGAACTGGCCTCTCTTGGTTCCTGGCTCACTCTCACCTCTCCCTGCAGACATCCTTATTGTCAAGCTGAGGAAGGGCCAAGAGCTGAGACTGCGAGCCTATGCCAAGAAGGGCTTTGGCAAGGAACATGCCAAGTGGAACCCCACTGCAGGGGTGGCTTTTGAATACGATCCAGACAACGCGCTTAGGCACACGGTGTATCCCAAGCCTGAGGAATGGTATGTGCTGGCGGGGAGCGGGGCCTAGCAATGGCCGTAGTGAGAGATGGGGTGGTGGGTGCTCTGAGAACCTTGTTAAAGGCAGAAGTAGCCACTTGTGCTCCCCTGTGCTTGCCCTCAGGCCAAAGAGTGAGTACTCCGAGCTGGACGAGGATGAGTCACAGGCTCCCTATGACCCCAACGGCAAGCCAGAGAGGTAAGACCCGGTCCTGCTTGGGACTGTAATTGTAAGAATAGAGGGGGGGAGGCTGTTAGGCAGTCACCTAGCAAGCCTCCTCTGTCCCCCATGTGACAGGAGAGCTAACTGTCTGACTTACGTACACATTCTGAGTTGGTCTTCATCCCCCTTTGGTCACCATGAAGAAATAGGCCTTGTTGTTATCCCATGTTGTCTCTGGCCTGCCTGTTTAGGCTCAGGCCAGAGCAGAACTGACCAGAGCCCTCCCCTGAAGAACTAGCCTGTGTCATGTATGATTTTTGTTCTTTCCTGCTGTCTGCAGTGTAGAAATGCACATACACAGTCATTGTAGAGTTTTCAACACCCCCCCACACACACACCTTTTGTTTTGTTTTGGTTTTTCAAGACAGGGTTTCTCTGTAGACCAGGCTTACCTCGAACTCAGATATATGCCTGCCTCTGCCTCCCAAGTGCTAGGATTAAAGGCGTGTGCCACCACCACCCAGCTCAACAATGCTCTTTTGAAGTAGCTGTAGCTTCCTTGAGGAGCTGCAAAGTGGATCTGGACCACTCTGCATAAGAGGTTTTAGGTAAAGGGAAGTCAGCCCTGTCCCAAGATCAAGTGCCTTGTAGGAATGAAGTCTCACAGCATAGAAGGGAAGCCTGCCTTATGAGCGCTCTGACCCTACTCTTGTCTCTCAGGTTTTACTACAACGTGGAGTCCTGTGGTTCACTGCGCCCTGAAACCATTGTCCTCTCAGCCCTCTCTGGGTTAAAGAAGAAGCTGAGTGATTTACAGACTCAGTTAAGCCATGAGATCCAGAGTGACGTGCTCACCATAAACTAGCCGCAGCTCGTCTGCTGAAGACAACTAGGTTCAAGGTGACCACTGGACTTCAGGTCTTGGGAGCCCTTCTGGTTTCAGGGCTGTGGACTCCAGTTTGCTAAAGCTGCCTGGAAGGTCATCAGAGTCAGGGCTTCCACTGGTATTAGGCAGGGCAGTTTCTTATGAGGCATTTAGCATCCCTGGCCCTACCTTCCTGATCACGGTGGCATTCCTCAGAACCCTAGGCATCCCTTCCATCCTGTTTCCTAGCTCACTAGCAGGGGGCCCCTATTGCTTCCTAGTTGAGAGCTACTGGCCTAGACATCTGGTCACTCCAGCTTTTTAAATCTTTACCCAAGGAAAGGAGTTTTCACAGCCCTACCTTAGGCGTCTGGCATTGGGACTGAGCATTAGGACCTTCATTGAAGCAGCCTGTGACCTTTCAGGTCCTCTTCCCAGGGTCAGGGCCCGCTTACTGGCACTTGAAGTTTCAGGTGTCCCTAAGCTGAGAAGTCACCCTTTGGGACTGGTATTAGACCCTGGCTGTCCTCTCTGTCCACAGGTGAACTTGGTGTTTTATACTCTGGCCTGACACTTGGGGTTGGGGGTACCACAGACCCCTCCCATACTTCCTTTCTCTTTAGTGAAGTTCAGGCCCTGCCCTTAGCATGTCTCCAGGTTGAAACAGACCCACCCATAGTGGTTTCCAGGCAGCCTGGGGATAAGCACGCACCAGCACAGAAAGGAAGGATATTTATTGATCAACAGTAGATGTCTTTTTACAAGTTTTTATTTTTGGCAATAAAGAGCACAACATAATCTCCTTCATGCGTCATCGTGCTGCTGGCTGAGCCAGCTCTTTCCCTCCTGAGGACCTGGGCCCATTTCTTGTACAGACTAGCTGACTGTCTCTGGGTGGTCATGGCCTGGGTCAGTCAGAGCTGGGCTGGCCAGGCCATCTCCCTGGCTCTAGGGCACCTCTGGGAGGGGGCCTCCTTATCATCCTGCCACAAATGTCAACAGTGGTTATTTACAAGGTCTGTTCCCACAAATCAGAACCCTAAAGTATTAAAAAAACAGAAACACGCAACCAAAGGTTTGATGTGAATATAAAGATAGCCCTTCTGCACGGTAGTCAATAAATACCAGCACTAGAAAATCAATTGCTTTAATTGCGTTTCAGCAGGGAGCTCAGCACCTTGTGGGGAGATGGGAAGGTCTTGGTTTTGGAATCTGGCCTGGGGTGGCTGGCCCAGGGCAAGGGACTCCCCTTGCTGGAGCACTGTACCCCCGCTCAGTAAAAGGGGCAGCAAGGTGCTCCCCACAGTAGTCCTGCTGCAGCCTTCTGGGCTGGCCCTAGCCATCCTCTACTGCTGAGGTGATGGGCGCCCTGCCTGAAGACATCTTCAGCCTACTGAGCAGGAAGGAGCCAGTGCAGAAAGTGCATTTTAAAACCAGATGCCACCTCTGCTTAAAACTCCTAAGTGCAAGGCTACCACGTGGTACAGCAAAGTTTGGGTCCTTCCTGTGTCACTGCTGGCCCAGAGGACAGAAGCTACCTGCTACCTTGGCCCTTAGGCTTCTGAGGAAGAGCCCACAGACAGCACCGGTCTGATTGTCCCCTACTCTGACCCTGGCAGCTCCAACAGTCTTGGCAGCAGGAGAGCTGTATCACTGAGGACAGGAATGGCTGCCCTCATACTCAGACAGCCTTGACCATGCCTGGTCATGGAATTAGAAATGGGTATGTGTTAGGGAGGGATAAAGGGAAGCCTCATTAATACAGAATATGTCATAAGCCATATATATTAAAACCATTAACAGTATATAGTCCCACGGTGGCTCCAGCCCCTCATGCTCAGGTGGTGTGGCCAGCCATGTGCTGAGGTCCAGCCTCACCCTTGAGGGCAAGGAGGGACGGCTTGCTCTCTTCAGGCTCTTGGCCAGCAGCTCCGTAAGGCTGTCCACGGGCTGCTGCAGTTGGCCTTCCCACAGGTGGCCCAGCAGTCATCAGCACCCACCAGTCCTGCTGTCACTGGGAAGGGCCCTTGGTCTCACTGCTGTCCTCTTGGCTGGGCTGTGGCTTAAGCAGGATGAATCTGTTCAGGAGGTCTGTTTCTGAGCTGGCCTGGGCTGCCCCATACCCTTCACCTGTGGTCAGAGATGCAGACTCAGAATTTGAATCCAGGACCAAAGACCCATGGTGCCCAGGAGGCCTCCACAGGGACAGGACACAATGACTCACCATAGCTGGAGGCTTCGGCAATGTTCTGAGAACCTGTGATATGGTGCCAGTATGCGCTACGGGGCAGCATTGTGGTGGGTGTGCAGGGATATGAGTAGTGTTCGGTGCCCTTGTTCAGCAGCTGTGGCACACAGAAAGGGGTCCCCTGTGTTAGTTCTGGGGACCCTGCTGCCGGCCCAAGGCCCTGCCTGACTCACCTGTGGACACGCTGGTGGAAACTTAGCTGGCGTGGGCCCCACCTCCCATGCCCTGGAGCAACAGCCACTGCCTCACCCTCACGTTCTTCTCCATTTCCAGCAGGACCCGCTTATGCTGCTCAGCGATGGCCAGGGTGGCACTGTGAACCCGTTGGTATATCTGCTCCCCCTCCTGTGTCTGGAAGGTGTAGAGGCCTTCCCCAGCGTCACACATTCTAAGGACAGGGAGCAAGAGGGCAAGGTGTCAGGAATTCCACCGTGTGGGTGTGCGAGTTCTGTGGGCCAGCTGTGGTTGTACCGAGGTCCCCGGGGACAGGGTAGCCGCCACATACCCAGTGGAGGTAAATGGACCTACTCGGCTGTTCTGCCGCCCTCCGGTCTGCACACTGAACAGTCTCCGTACACGTTTACAGAAGAGGAAACCAGCACCCAGTGTGACAGTAGCTAGGCCAAGGTTAAGCAGGTGGTACAGAACTGAAGTCTAAGGCTGGCTGAGTCCCAGCAAGGGTCTTCCCCATCAGGCTCAGTGCTTTGTGAATCCCCTATAGGAAACTGGTGCTAAAGCCAGAATCCCAAAGCTAGAAAGTGCTGCAGTGGCCAAGCCAGGGAGCTGTGCTTTTGGTATACGGCTTCACTTGACCTGCAAGCTAATCACTTCAGGCCCTGAGTTCCTCGTCTGTAAAACTGAAGCATTTTATCCCCTCTGGGTAATATGCCTGATGCCATGCAGAGAGCAGTCTCCACGGTGGCCATGTGGGATAGGGTGGGAGCAAAGAGGGTATTTTACCTGCCCGCCTCAAAGGTAAAACGTGTGGCATCTCGGCCATAGCGGCGCAAGGAGCAGAGGGGCCACGAGACGAGCTTCACGCGGGGGTTGTGTATGTCCCAGAGGTAAATGTTCTCGTGGGTGATCTGCAGCTTGCACTCGCCATATACGTCCAGGTTGGGGCAGGGCAACAGGAAGACATTGAAGCGATCTGCAGAGCAGAGGATGAATGAGAGCAGAGCTAACTGAGGGCCCCACCTTCCCCTCCCCACCTTGAGACCCAGCTCCAGCCTTACCTGTCTGCTCACACTGTACTCCCGGGGCCAGGAGGTCGGGCTCTCCCAGACTGATGTCATTGAGCCGTGACCCCAGACATTCCACTGACAGTGTCTTGTACCACTCTTCTGCCTCCAGCTCTAGAGAGAAATCACACTTGGTAGTCCTGCCAGCTCAGAGTCCCCAGCAGCCCACCCGGACTCCTTGGCTTGAGTCAGTGCACTCTGCAGGGAGGGCAAGGCCTGCCTGCCCACCTCAGTCTGGGGACCTAATCCACCAGGGCACACCTCCCACCCTTCCTGCCAGGGTTGGCCCTGCTCTCTGTCTGGACCGCTGACTGTTACCAGCCCCGACCAGCTGGAGCCTGCAGCCCCGAGGCCTCACCTGAGTCACAGGTGAAGGTGCGAGCCGAGTCGTCCGTGAATATGATAGCCACCGCCTGCCTCTTGGTTTCCTTGGGGAGCCGTGTGACACACTTGACGTTGCTGATCTCAGTCACCTGGGAGGACACCCCAAGAGGCTTAGCCTGGCTGGGGCACTTCACCCCACCTCCCATAGTTACGCCCCCCAGGAAGGTACTCTCAGACCTCAGGACTCAGCAAGTCATCTTTGCTCACAGGTGGGGGGAGCTAGGGCCCAGGCCCCTAACCTTGGGGCAGCCTCGGAGGCACACTGACTTCTCATCAGGATACTTCTCCAGCCGCTGGGGCCCCTTGCTGGACGATTTCCGGAACACCAGCCAGCACCTCCGGTAGATCTGTGGGTCAAGAACAGAGGTCAGGTTGCTGCTGGACCATGATCCCCAACAATGCTGTCCTGAAGCTACCCCAGCCTCCTGAGGGAGCAGTACCACACCCTTCCCTGGATCCTAGCCTAGAGGAAACCTGGGGATGGTAACTGCCCGACAGCGGCCACCAGAGGGGCAGCCCACCCCAAACGGCCGAGGTGGTGTTCATGATCAGCTCTGTTGAGTTGTTCTATGATCCTCCGTGTGCTCAACGTGACTAGTGTAATGGAAGGAGCATTTGTGGAATGCTTCCTAGCCAGTCAGTGTCGGGGTCACTCCTGAGGCCAGTTCGGTTGTCGTATCCATTTCAGAGACAAATGGGCCATGAAGAAGGCAAGAAGGACCTAATGCAAGTGGCGGAGTTCCTATCAAGGTGGACTTGCCAGGGACACACCCATTACCACAGGACAGACCGCCCTGGCCGCCAGTCTCCCAGGGACAGGAAGTGGCCCCTGCACTCAGCCAGCTTTGCATCACCATGGCCCTGCTTTGGGGCCCAGGCAAGGCTCTGGTGTGAGGGGCATCACTCTTGCTCCCAGGGCTTTCCCTCACCACTTACCAACAGTGTACCACAGGGGGTTCCCGTGGGGACCAGAGGCCTACAGAGGGTAAGGGGACAGAGCTTAGAACTAACTGTGCCCACACAGCGCAGTACCTTCCCTGGGCAGTCTCTTGCCTGTCCTCACCACTAATGCCCTGTGCGCTAGGCCACTGAGAGTCTCCAGAGCTTCAGAAACTCCTAAGGAGGGAACTTCTACAGAGACAAGCTGGCCTAGAGACACCATGAAAGGTTGTCCCAGCACCTCCATCAACTGCCCATCTGAACTCTTCTTGCAGGGCCCCTCCCTCCCTCCCTCCCTCCCACCGCAGGCTCTCTTTAGCCAGTCGGTGATGGATTTACCAGCTCCTGCCAGCGGGCATCAAGCCTGGCAGGCCTGTTCCCCGGACATCCCTGTGCCACTGTCATTGCAAATAAGAGGGCTCCTGAAGGGGCCTGGGCTGAGGAGAGGAGGGGGGAGGCCACTGGGCCACAGTCCCAAGGGCTGGCCGCCAGCTCAGCTGCCTCCTCTGCCATAGGTACAGCACCAGGCCTTTGGCAGGCAGGTCACAGAGCAAAATGGACCTAGACAGCCCCTCTCCCTGGAACTCCCTAAAGCTGGGCCACTTCAGGCTCCTGTCTGGGACCCTGGGAAGTGTGTCTGCCTCGGCACCCGTCCCTAGCTCAGCCCTGCTCTGTTCACTTGAGCCTTTTTAAAGCAGAGACCAAGTATGCCATATTCTCCCACTCCTTGCTTATACCTGCGTGCAATTACTGAGCAGGTGAGTGGCCATGTGAAGGGCAGGGTGGACAGGAAGATGGACAGACGGGTGAATGGATAGATAAATGGATGGGTGGGAGCTGCCTAAGCGCCCCCACCCCCAGCAGGCAGCGACCTGGGAGTAGAGGCCTGCCCCCCTCCCCCAGCACCCTGGTTGCCTGGTTACAGGATACACACTCACACAACCCCAGGGAGCCATGCACTCAAGCGCTCTCCTCACTTTGATCAGCTCTT